CAGGCTCATATGCATCACTCCCCAACATAGCAGGAAACTGAAAAAGATTTTTATCATTAAAAAAGAAATCAAAAGAGCCGAAAAATCAATTTTCGACATCTTTTTCCCCCAAATTTTTCTCGATTTTTATTGGTAAAACTTATTAAACAAGCTTGGCAACCACCAAAACAATCTATTAAACATTTACACTTGTTCTATCACTGTTTTCGCATGTTTCCCTCCTTCTACCGGCTATTTAATGACATTTTCTCAAAAGTCGGCAAGGCATGACTTTGTCACGGCGATGTTCACCGTCTCGCATACCCAAGCTGTGTAATTCCCAAAATTCGAATTTTGAGTATTTAACCTACGAATTCCGTGATTTTGAAGCCACAAACCATCCTTTCTGTCTATTCTGGATGATTCGCCTACGCTTTTCCCTCAGGATGCCTTCAGATGGTGCCCATCACCAACGTTGAATAGGGGTTAGAAAGAAGAATCTTCCAAAGTTTACAGAAATGATTTTTGAAAAGTTTCAGCACTCCTGAAGGGCAATAGAAGCTAGAGCATTCCTTGCTTACGTGGAGCAAATTCTTTCAGCTTATTCGTAAGCATTCCGATTAATTAGGAAGGCGACGTAACGTAGTTGTCGAAAATGGACTTTTTCCCTGTTTGATTTTTCCAAATTTGACGTTGCAAAACTTTTTCAGGTCATCTGATGTGGACAATCGAAATGAAAGTTCTAGTAGAGAAGGCTTAGAGCTTTCAAACGCATATAAACAATTTGCAAAACATCGCGCAAATTATTGAGAAAAAATTGAAAGAAAAAATGGGACAGAACTTACTACACAACCTAATATAATCAATCAACCATTGACACTTCCTCATTCTGAGGTGTCAATGGTTTGATGAGATTACCGAGGAAGCCATGCATAATGCTGAAAATAAACTCTTTGTTTTTTTCGAAAATAATAATTTTACGTAGATGCTTCAGAGTGATTTTCTTCCTTGAAGTTAGGGTTAGGGTTGCAAATCTTTTTCGGTACCCCTTAATGGATTAAAGATGCAGCTCCAAAAGCGAAGGCTGTTTGAAATGGTGCCCCGTAAAAGTGAAAGTTTTCTTGAGAAAATCAGAGGCTGTAAGCTGTAAGCTAAGCAGCAAAAACAAAAGAAACTATTACAAACAGGCAAAAATGCTGCAATGTTTTTGGAATCTTTACATTGGCGGTATTTTGATTCGCAGGTTCTAGCCTCATGACCAGGTGCACAACGAAGAAAAGGAGGACCTGACTCTGGTTTTCGGGTGTCTCAAACTCACTCACGAATCGGAAGTATTAAACATGAAAAAAACTAGTTACAAAAGTGGGTTTCGTTTCTGACAAGGGAACGCCTCCGTCGAAGTGAGTTTCCATATGTAATGCATATCATTCTGCTGGCCTTGGGGCGCTATCACCAAATCCGTCTTCCTTAGCTGCTCAATGATGCCCTGAGTTATGAGCGATGGATTCCGAAGGATGACCATGACCTGCTATTAGTTTGGGGTGCCAAGCAACAGACAGGTATGGACGGATGGCTTTGGATAGCTGCTGTTAGCTCCCGAACTCTTGGCCACTAGCTGTAAAGCAAGTCAAGATTTCGGGACCTTGCTGCCAGCAATTTTGCACTTTCACAAAATTCTTGATATCTATGTCCAAATGATCCTAAGGCAAGAAAACGGTCCTAATAACTTGTTTACGCAAAATTTCAGAGGCAATGAAAAAATAGTGCAGAATGCTGATTTGCGCAGTTGTGGTAGGTCAGTTAGATCAAGTACATGTAGATGTTGGTACGATCGTAAACACTTGATGAGAAGCTTTTGAGAGCCCTATTCATTCCGTAATTTGTTAGGAGCTGGGAATTTGGAGAGCAGATGTCTTTCGCTAGATGTGCTTTTTGTGAGAAGTTCGCTTTTTGGACATTTTGCGACGAATTCCACAAGTGCTTATAAATGGTTTAATCTTATATATAAAGCTGAATGTCTGTTTGTCTGTCTGTCTGTCTGTCTGTCTGTCTGTACGTATGTTCCGAATAGAAAATTCCATTTCTGAACCGATCCGGACCAAACTTGGCACACATACACTGCGGGCCCCGGCGGGTGTCATAGGCTACTTTTCGTCATCGATCGATATCGATTTTATCGATTTTTTGCGAAGTTTGAGCTACAGGGCTGGGAGTTGGCACAGGGGGGGGGGGGTAATCGAGCATGCTGATCACCCCCGTGGGGGTGATCAGCATGCTCGATTACATCCCTCTGCCGATCGATAGCGAAAAGTGGACTGTGACGCCCGCCGGGGCCCGAAGTGTATGTGTGCCAAGTTTGGTCCGGATCGGTTAAGAAATGGAATTTTCTATTCGGAACATACGGCGGAGCCGGGTAAGCCAGCTAGTAACATAATATAAAAGCACTCAAAGATAGCCTGCCGTCTGCTATTGTTCGAAGCTATCAAATAAGTCATGAGTATTTAGTTGCCTTATTGACTCTCCCGAACACATCAAACAATTGGCAAACTGCAAAAATGTTGGCGGCTAGGAGATCCGAACTCTTAATCACCTGCTTCATATTCTTCGAAGTTATTCACTCAAACATCTTTACACACTCTACATTGCTTGGCGCCGCGAACTTTTAGTGGCCGTTGGTCATCCAGAAGGTACCAATCACTGAGCAGCAAAGGATCACTGACTGGGTATGAGTGCCCTAAGGACAGCACAATATTATGCATTAAGCGTGAAAGGAAGAATTAGTAGTAAGCTCAGCGACGTCTACATTATGGACGAGGCAAGATCTATCAAATATACGAAAAAACCGAGTGAAAAAAGCTAGATTGAATGTAAAATGGCTGATTTTCTCGTTTAATTCAACGGAGCTCGGCGACGTTGATTTGCCAGGCAATAGTTTATTCGTTCTCACCCCACTACTCGCTCAGCGGACGAATTCGAATTTGCACTAGAGCAGGCTGGCTGTATAGAGTTCGGCACACTCCGTCCTCAGATTAAGCTTACTGTGTTTTTTCGTTTTTGTCATCATTGCATGCTCTTTTTGTGCCTTGGCACTGGTGATTGAGATTTGCAACTCCGCCGTTGTTGTGTTATTTTTCGGAATGCTTGACAGTGTTTGCTGCGAAGTATTGAGAAGCCAACGGATCTTCTCCTTTTACGGTGTCGGTGATAGCACTGCGTTTCACAGCAGCACAACGCATGTAACGTGCACGCGGGTCAATTGTCGCCGTTCTCCGCCGGCATCGCGAGCAGCTTTCATGAAGGTCACCATACTGTCCTGGTCTCAGTCCCTCGGGAAATCTCTGCAGATCACCGGCGTTTCTATGCAGCAGGCAGTGTGAAGCCTTGCGAAATTTGAAGCAGTTTTTTAATGACGCATGTGACAGCACTTAATTGAAGACATGCATGGATTTTTTAGAAGCATGTGCAAACTGATGAAGTGCTAAAAGGGCTCAGGGGCCAGATTAGTTATAAAAACAGGTTTTGCGTCTTCTATTCCATGAAAAAAGTACATGCACAAAGGTGTTGTAAGTTATGATACAGTGAAAGACTAGACATGTCTTGACATGTAAATAGCGCGGATAGAAGTAATAATTGAGATTTTCCTTTATTTAATCTTATATATATGCAGCTGAATGTCTGTGTGTCTGTCTGTATGTATGTATATCTGTCTGTACGTATGTTCCGAATAGAAATTTTTATTTCTGAACCGATCCGGACCAAACTTGGCACACACACTTCGGGCTCCGGCGGGTGTCATAGGCTACTTTTCGTAGTCGATCAACATCGATTTTATCGATTTTCTTGCAGAGTTCACCTACGAGGCTGGGAGTTGGCACAGGGAGTATCGAGCATGCTGATTACGAGTACAATATTAGTTTTTAAAATCGTCCATTACTTTTATCAATTTTATCGATTTTTTTGCAAAGTTTGAGCTACGGAGGTGGGAGTTGACACAGGGGGGTAATCGAGCATGCTGATTACGAGTACAATATTAGTTTGGCGCTATTCGGCTATCTGGGCCCCAAAATTTATTTTGCCGTAGAGCTTGCTTAAACTTCGTGTATAAGGGTTATCTTACATGCTGATTAAAGATATCACACTTTCTCTGCAGAACGTCTACCCGTGTGGTTACGGTAGGTGTACGGTAGGAAGTCAAAATTATGAATTCGGCTGGAGTTCGGTCCAGAGAATTTATTTGACATGCTGATTACGAATTTCATACCCTCTCTGCATATTGGGACTAGAGTTAAAGGTGGTTATACGGTATGGGATCGAAAACTTAGATTTGCTTTAAACTTCGTCCAAAGTGGTCATTTAGCATCGCGCGCGGCAGTGCTCCTATAAGGAAAGCATTATGGTCGTGATAAACTTTTATACCACACGAATTGTCATCACCGTGGGAATTAAGTACGATATTCTTAAAACAGCACTTTAGGTAATTCCCTGCCAAGGATTCAGGCAGGTCCCGCTGCCACGCGAAATGACTACATTTGTCATCAGTGGCTTGAATAACCCCCATATACCGAGTTTGAGCAAGACCCACCACAAAAACATTCTAGGGCCAGGATAGCCGAATAACGCCATCAGTTTTCAGAATTATCCTTACTTTTATCGATTTTATTGTGTGTTTTTTTTTTGCAAAGTTTGAGCTACGGGGCGGGGAGGGGAGTGGTGAGGAAGATAGGTGAGCATTTTGATTACTAACACAGCGGGAATAAAGAGTATGTAGAAGTGGGCACAGGTAAAGGTGTACAGGGATAGAAACGGAACCTTTATCGTTTTTGACAGGGCCGGACGGAGCCGGGTAAGCCAGCTAGTGTCGTATTTAGATCACACAGGCACTGACTGGAGTACTCGACCTCTTCTGTGAGTCCGGAAATTCCAAACTTCGGGGGGGAGGGGGTGTCTTATAGTTATGTTAGTTAGTTAGTTATGAAATGCACTGTACATTATAGATTCTCTATTCGCTGTGCCTGTACGGAATGTACAAAGGATCGTTGCTGCGAGTTCCTGGCTATATTCTAATGTTCTTCAATGGAATTGTAGATGTTGCTGATTTAATTGTAACTTCCTGCTTTGTGACATACTTTCACTTTGTAAGTTGAGACAAATTGCAGTTTATCCTTTTTTTGTATAACGCCCATATTTCAGACTGGTGCCGTGTTCTGCACAACGATATTGTTGGAATGGGTTTCAGGACATCTCGCTCTCGGTAAGTTTCACTTACAAACAGAAGCGCTGTTGGACAGAATGATCAAGTCACATGCAAAGGCTTTTTTATCCAGTCAATGGTTTGAGAATTTGAAATTTTGGCATTATTTCAAAATAACAAATATGTCTGCGCGTGAAAATGAATATCTTTTTGTGGAATCACGACGCAATCAGTGGTAATAATCAAACGCTTTTTGACTTAGACTAGCTGTACTCAGAACCCTTTGGCGAAAAAAGGAAAGATTTTGCAAACATACATTGTTTTGTGTATAGGCTTGGAACGACTAGATAATTTTGTGTCCTGACTAGAGGAGGCAACATTTCCTGAGTTCGGAAATCATGCCCGTTTTAAGTGACGCAATAACTCATACGCTTCTTATGTCTAAATCAGTGCTTCGCCTCTGCTTCGGAGAGGCTCCCGCTGGCCATCACGAAAAGTGTATTAGAGTAGCTTACTTTCTTTTAGCTTGTTTCTCACATCATTCCAAAGTTGCCTGTAGCGCGTGACTTCTAGTTGAAAATGAACCACCCTTGTTATCAGATATCACTTGCTTGAAGTATTCATTTTCTTACTGTATATTCGTGACGGAAAAATGCCACTCAGCTTCAAATTAAGCTGTTCATTATAAGTCATCATAGGTCGCAGGAATAGGGGGAGGGGGGCAAACATGCTCTCGATAGGGCAAAGCAAGGCAAGCTCTACAAGAAGACGGCTTTCTTTTGCACCGACTTCGATCCACCCGAGTTTGAAGCTGAGAGCCAAAAAAACAATTGCCCTAAAAACGGAGAAAATGGTAATTCCGTCTAAAATATCCAACAAAAATCCTGGCTGCTAACATATACACTTTCCACATGAGACATTTATGCATACCGTTGTTGAATTTCTTCCTCCGTCAGAAAATAAGAAAACGAGCTTTTGCCAAAGCGATACTGTGTTGTTCTTACATAAGTATAGTAACATGTGGGAGCACAAACGCTAATTTTTAGCTCTTACAAGCTCTAATTTTTGAGACATATGGAACTTTGTTAGCTTGAGGCACTCGACAGAGGATTGCCGTATTCGTTATTTTTCGAAAGCTAAAGCTTGTCGAATGCTGTACATTTATACTTTGTACGTTTGTACTTTCACATGTTTTATGTACACATTTATGTGGGAACAGCGCACTATCAAGCTTGGGGTGTGGCCTGCTACACCTGAGGGTCGTAGTGAGGGGACAAGTAAGAGAGGGGGAGGCGTTTCCGAAGTGATTCTGCTGTTAGCGATAACATGATATTCGTTAGCAATGTCGGATAGGCTCATCATGCAAGATACTAGCACAATGATCTTTGGCCTATATAGTATGCGTACAGCATACTATATAGGCCAAATATGAGATAAATACTATATAGGCAAGCACAATTTGAGAGCCTTGAGAGCATAAGAGCATTATCTTTGTAATTAGCATATAGAATAACCCTTTTGGCCAAGTTTCAGCTAACTCTGAGGTTTCCAAATCTCGGGCCACCAAGTGAAATGGTCATTTTCGAGCATGTTAACTTTTCAAAGGTAAATTGACTACCACTATTTCTTTTTGCATTTAATACAAAAAATTGACATTCTTTGCTCACATTGGGAATCCCACTTCGAATAACCTTCAAATCATGAGAAAGGTAAGCCAAAATCTCGTTTGTTCCATTTTCGCTAAAATCTCAGACAGGAGAAGACCAATCAGGTTTTAGTCACTATCGTATAAATTTTGGGATTACGCTACCGAATATACTTATTTTTTGTCGCCTTCCTTCGCGATCCATGTAGTAGTGCAGATGTAGCGTGTTATCGTAATCCAATACCTTGCAGTATCTCCCATTTGCATAGCCTAGGTAAGGAAAAACAGCTATATCTTTCCCTAGAAGAAAAAATTTCAAATGTTCCTACTGTGTAAAGAAGAAGGTTAGGCGGTAGCAAAGACATAAAAAGCGCAGCTATTTGAATGGTTCGAAGGTAAGTTAAAAGGGTGTGGCACAACTTCTGAAAAGGTGTGGCAGCCACAACTTTTCTATGGTTGTACCATAGCCCATTAGCTTCCCCCGAGGAGAATTTTTAGCGAATAATACATACAATTCGAAAGCGAAATCCCGGTTTTTGTAAAAGTGATTGGAGCTGAATTCATCATCTTCCGTTTGTGGAATAGTTGCTGGAAGCACAACCACTGTTAGCGTAAAACAGGACAAACGAGCTTTTGGCTGGTTCCCAATTCCATGGTTTGATGGTTATTTGAAGCAGGATTCATGGTATTGGCAAAAAAGAAAAAAGTTAGCTAAGTCACTTTCTTAACATAATTAATTATGCTTAAAAATGACCACTGATCGCGTGGTCGCTTTAAAAATGACCGCGTTAACTCCCGTTACCTAGATATCCTTCTTCTTCTTTCTCTATCTGGCATTCGAAGGTCTCATACCCTGGTACCTGCGCATAACGGTTGCTAGATTACTGAAGGACAAGATTAGATTTCATCCCCTGGAGTCCCCAGAAGATCGCCTTTCATTTTCAAAGCCATTTGTCTTCCTGAAAATTCAATGAAAACGCTGTAAAATTGCACTGAGGATGTACTACGGCACTGCTAAGAAGGGACCGATACTTGATGTCTGTGGCCTTTTGAGATGAAACATACACCAATACACTCGTCTTGGAGCGATGACTCCAAATCAGACTTCCGTTTTTGCTAATCTTTTTTTCTGAAAGTAATTAGAAGGATTTTCGCGTCAATGGTCGCTCAAGAGAAACACTGTCGAGGATGCCTAACTTTCAGAAAGAAGCTTAATTGAGGCAGTACACAACTGAAAAACACAAAAAGACTGGACTAAACCTCTGTTAACTTGTGAGGCTATCGCAGTAGCCACTGCATCACATCGTAGCTTCGGTTTTGGCATTCCGACCATACTTCCTTTGGCTCAAAAAACTTTCATAACTTTTTCCAGAGAAACAATTAGCAGAAACGGAAGTCAGATTCAACAATTAGTGTTTTAAGACGAGTGTAATGGTATACATCAAAGGTCACGGACACCGAGCATCGTTTCCTTGTAAGCATGTTTTTGACAGGAGAAGTGGAATCTGAAAATTGAGAATTTTTTTGATAATCTCTAACTCGCGAGCAACGGTTCATCGAAGACTTCGTTGTTTGAAATTTCGCTTATTTCTACTATAAACATGTTAGTAGTGCAATATACATCCTCACTACAATTTTACAGCGATTTCATAAGGTTTTCGGGAAGATAAACATCTTCGAAAATGAGAGATGATTTCCTGGAAATGCCCAGGAGATCGCGCAAATAGTGAAAATCTATTCTTTTATAGCAGTAACCTGGCATCCATAATGCGTGTATTAGGGTAGGAGTACATTCAAAAGCCAGATAGATAGTGAAGAAGAAAATATCTAGTTTAGGGGGATATGACCCGTCCCCTCTCGGTTCCCTCCCTCCCGCGGAGGTTTACATGCATACGAGCCTTAAAGGCAGAGGCTCGGGAAAATTACGACTGCGTGCTTTCAGTTCCTCCTTGGCCTTCTGGATGCGTTTAAACCAGAGTTGTGCTTGAAAAGTCAAAAAAGTGTTTTTTATGGCGTTCTGTGGCCTTAGAGATTACTGAGGAGGCTGGCGCGGAGATCCCCGCTGCCGAGTCACGATTGGCGCCTGGGCAATCAGCCAAGTGCCGCCAAAATGAGGGGGTGTTACCGTCTTCTGCAGCCGGTCATGTTTTTTACGGGAATCTCCGCTCCAGCCTCCTCAGTAATCTCCGAGGCCGCTGAACGCCATAAAAGCACTGTTTTGTTTTTTCAAGCACAGCACCGGACTCAACGCATCCAGAAGCCCAAGGAGGAACAGAAAGCGCGCAGTTACACTTTTCCGAGCTACTGCCTTTAATGTCTGGAGGCGAACGATAATGCGGGGGGGGGGGAGAAGTGGAGGTATAGAGACAGACTTTAAGGAGGTTGTATCCGGCGGCTGCTGCCGCATCTCTGGCCCCCCCCCCCTCCTAATCATTCCTTCGTCAACAGCATGAAAGTTTTCGTTATTTTGATTTCAAATCGAGGAAAAAATAGAGCAACGATAATATATAAATGTCTGATGCGGAAGGCGTATGCGTAGGTGGCCAGGATTTTTATAGGATTTTTTTGAAGGAGTTACGATTTGTTCTCGCTTTTTCGAGCAATCAATTTTTTAGTTCAGCTTCAAAATTGGGAAGGATCAGAGCTGGTGCAAAAGCAAAATACCGAGCAACACTCTAAGACCCATTTGTAATTAAGAAGCATAAGACTTCTGCTTTATTTGAAGTGGGCAATAATTTCCGGAGTCTGGTATAAATTATATCACTCAATTCTTTGTAGGTTTTTGGCTCGGAGTGTCGTCCAACTGTATTGTATTAGCCTTCAACAGGTTCGTGGAAATAATTCCATCAGCAAAATTTCTACAATTTCTCTTCCGCGGTAAGCATAACCCAAGGTGTACTATATACAAAGTGTCCCAAAGTTGTATCAAATATTGACAACACTCTTGTCTAAACAGCTTTCGCAGATTCTCAGGTATCTACTGTTGAGCTAGATAATCAGTACAACTTTAAGGTGGCTGGTCAAAGAGGATGATCACTCTACCCTTAAGGGTAACTTTCACCTGGGTTCATTGGCCGTATTTATGAACGAACCCTTGTAGGGTTTGCCCTGTGGCCGTGGTCATCTTCGATAAATCGAGATAAATTCTATCTTCAGATAGTTTTATCACTCATCATCAGCAGATAACCCGTATTTACAAAAGTCAGTCCTTGAGGTACTTCTCAAAGTAACTTTTACGTTGAGAATTTACCTCAAAGTATTTAGTCTTGGATAAATATTACCTTGAAGTAAATTCTACTTCAGGGTGAATTCCATCACAAGGCACTGTTATCGCTCAAAATCCGTATTCATGAAACTATGAGCCTTTACCTTGAGCAACATTCTCAATGCAACTTCTAAGCTTAGCCAGAGGCAAGTTTAGAAGAATGTCTTAAAAGAGCTATCTTTTCTCGGAAGCTGATTTTTTTCATGAACAATGCCTGGCGTAGCTCAGCTTACTGTAGCAATCTTAAAATTGGCTAAAATAATTGGGAGTTAAGCGGACTCAGCAAAATTGTGTTCACTTTCCTAGAAGCTGGAGGAGGACATACACACGACATCCACTCGCAGAGCATTTTAAGCGCAAAAGCCAAGTTGCATTCATGAAGTTGCTTGATGAAACCTTTCGTTTCCGATTTTCAAATTACAGAAAGTACGAAATGGTGCCGTTTACCGTGAATTAGCCCTCGCTCAACACTACAACTTGTTATCCTTCCCATAGGTTCGAAAATGGGGTACAAACTCATGTTTTGTTAAAACTTGTAGTTTAAACGAAAAAACGGCCAAATTTCCCTTTTATCTAATGAGACAACAAAACTTGGCATTTTATCGTGTCCGAACATGTGAGGATCCTTCAAAGCGTCTTGTAGTCAAAACATGTCAGCTTGTATCCGAAGGACACGAAAAACTAATTTTGTTTAGAAACAATTTATCGGCAATAAGAAACTTCATACAGTGCTAAGACGTCATAGCGTGCTCGGAGTAGACGCCAGTGTACAGTACGCTGGTAAAGGTAAAATTCACCTTGAGGTACATTTCTGAATGTCAACCGCTCAATGTACAATGTACTTTGAGGTGACATTTACCTCGAAGAGATTTTACCTCAGGTTAAATGATGAATACGGCCTCTGGTAAGCGATTAACCCGCATTCAACAACGATCTTTGAAAGTAAATCCTTCCCCTGAGAGTAGTTAGACAATAAATTCAGCAAAGACAAAACAAGGACCATCTATGGGACACCCTGTACGTGCTTCAACTGCACGCCTTAGGGATGATGTTTGCTTCAGGAAAAATTTTGTATTCGTGGATGACGCTTTCACTATTCTATATGCTCATGGCATGGTTCGCACTAAGACCTCTACCTTTCAATAGTGTTATATCCGCCTTTATAGCTACTCCCATGATTGAGGACTACAACTGGGTGAGTTAAGCAAAGCACAAGCCAAGTCATTCATTCTTTGGCCAAAGCTTTCTCCTTTGGTCTCAGCTTGATCTATTGCAAAAAAGCAGTCTTTTAGGAGTACTTGCATTTCACTTCTCCATATCTTCTTATTCATAATTGTACTGTACTTGCTATGCTATTACCAGCGTACTCCATTCTCTGCTGTTACTTATACTTCAAACGCAGTACAGCTGGGCATGAAAATTTACGGGTACCTTGTTTACGTGCTTTTAAGAAGAATAGTATCGGAGGTTACCTCTGCTTTTCCATATGATAAGTATTAGATTGGTGCAAAAGTAATGCGCTTGTTCTAGCTCTTGCTGCAGGACAAGGTTTTTTTCACCATCCTTTTTTGAAAAGATTTAGCATACTTCCAAGAAGTTTTTCCATGCTTTATCCAGCGGTAGTTGAGACAAGCTTGTAGCCTCATTTGTTGGAAATTTACACAGCTTCACACAGCGGCACTCGATATTAGAATTCAATTGCATTTACTTCTCTGGCCAGAATTCAAGCGCGAATGAAGGCATTTTATAAAAGCGTAGCTGCTGTATGTGATAGAAATTGTCTACATTATGCACACTTCACATTTTTCTTAAATTACTTAGACTGAGATATAGATGCTTCATGTAGTCTTTATGGTCATTCTGTGGCCCACAAATTTTTCTTGAAAAAGGCAATCTCCAAAGATTTCTCATTTCTGTAAGCCTAAGGTAGTCCTCATGTTAACGGGTACTTTAAGGCCTACGAAAAAACATTAAAAAAGGCAACAATTTTGGATTTTGATATTTTCTTTTTGCAAATCTTCTTTGCTTGAGCCTTTACATCGTCTTTTGTACTACTGGCCAGCGGCTACAAGATAGGCTACTTACCATTTATACTAACAAATTAGAAGGGAGTTATGAGCAGTTAGAAACAAGGTTTCAGAAAAAAAAACTTTTTTTGCTTATTCATCTATTTTTCTGCCCACTTGCGATATGAGTGTAGATGCGTTGTATTGCGAAAAGTTTGCTGCCTCTTGTGGTCTTTGTCGCACTAAAAATGTAGATTTCTCAGAAAGTTTTAGCACAGGTTGAATTGAGAACTAGCAATATGCACATTACATATGCATCAAATAATATACGAAATTATTATGTATTCTCATAAGTTTTTTATTTTTGACTTTGCAAGTCATACCATCCTCATTTTTCATTGGAAGGCAGCAACGGTAGAGCAGAGCAAGCTCTGTAAGATGGCTGCGTAAGCGTGCGCACCTTCTGTTCACCTAGTCAGAAACCAATCTAATGTTAAGAATATTCTTTGTTTCTTCATTCAAAAGACACTTATTGGATCTCTCACTCATACATATTTACCTCTACATCAGACATTCATATGTGCCATTGCTGTACTGTAAACTAGAAATTAGAAAACGAATATTTTCACGTTCTTAGAAAAGCGATGCTGTCCTATCTTATATATAAAGCTGAATGTCTGTATGTATGTCTGTATGTACGTATGTTCCGAATAGAAAATTCCATTTCTGAACCGATCGGGACCAAACTTAGCACACATACACTTCGGGCCCCGGCGGGTGTCACAGTCCGGATCGGTTCAGAAATGGAATTTTCTATTCGGAACATACGGCGGAGCCGGGTAAGCCAGCTAGTTCTTACACAAGTAAATGTACACTACAATCTGCAAATTTTCAGCTTTTTATAAGTTCTAGTTTCCGAAAAATATAAAATTTAGCTTTTCTTGCGTGCGCTTACTAGCCGTCTTATAGGGCTTACTTTGTTTTATCGAATGATATCCTGAATTCAATTAGATTGAGAAGTGTGTGGCTTGTTGCCGTAAAAAGTCAGAATTACAGAAACTTATAAAACAACCTATTAAATTGTCCCAAAAGTAAACCATAAGTATTTTCGCTTTCTTTGAACAAACGCCACAATCCACAGAACAAAGGCTTATAGGAGTTCTTGGTAGCATTCGATGCAGTTTTTCATGCTCTTTTAAACGATCATCGTTATTATGCAGACGAAGCAACAAGCTCTCAGAAAATTGCTATAAACTGCGCATGCTTTTTACCAAGGTCAAGTTCAGCTATTTTCTAAATACTTGTACTGATCCCGCAAAGAAGTCCAAGTAACCTGTCGATAGAGCAAACAGATTAGGATGCAAAACAATTTTTGTTCCTTCCACAGCTTACTTTGAAAAATTTTCAAAATTATTTCTTCGATGCTATCAAACTCCATATTTGATCAACTTAAACCTCATAGAACAACAGCCGGCGAGCAGCCGGGTGTTATTCGACGCAGCAATCTCTTCTCTTTCAGGAACATGTTTTTTGTTCCTGATTCGAGAAGTTTTGGAGAATAAAATCGACAAAATTCATGTTTTTTAAGGAACCTCAGGCTGTACCCGACAAATCAAATATTAGTTGTTCTGAACCTCGAAACGCTCACTTGTTTCAAAAATTAGTGCTGAGTCCTACTCCACTTTGAAAGTATCAAAAATCGAGAAACAGTGGAGTTTGACGAGTCTGCCTATGGTATGGGACTCCTAAAATTCGATGGTGTTGTTCAAAATTCTGTCAAAAAATTATGGAGAGCCCTGGGAAGGAGATCGAAATTGTTTTGTATCCTACTTTGTTTGCTCTATCCGCAGGCCACTTGGACTTCTTCGGGGAATCAGTACAAGAATCTAGAAAAATAGTGGAACTTGACCTTGGTAAAAAGCATGGGTCGCAGTTTATCGCAATTTTCTGATAGCTCATTGTGTCAAGTGCTAAACAAAGATGACCATTTGAAAGAGCATGAAGAAAACTGCATCGAATGCTACCAAGGGCTTCTATAAACCTTTGTTCTGCGGACAGTGCGCCTGTTCAAAAAAAGCGAAAATACTTTTGGTACGACCTAATATATTAGGTTGGCACGAAAGTTCGTTCGCACCTTTTTCGAAAATTCATAACTTCTAATTTTTCCAACCGATTTGACTATTTTTATTCACCTGTGAAAGAGTAAGTCATGCTCTTTACAAAAATATCTTAGATGCTTGCTAATGGTCGTCTATTGCATAGATAGGAGCGATAGAAGAAAATTAGTCAAAATTCGAATTTTCTGTGTAGAGCCATAAAAAATCGAAAACTTGCAACAAAAATCGGAGCAGTCAGTATTGTAGTTTCTTTCAGCAGCTCTTTCTAACAGTGCAGAGTTGGCGCTGATTGAGCGTCTTTATGAAAAGTTATGATTTCCCTGAAAAATGCCAAAATAAATCAGATTCGCCCTTTTGTATTGCTTGCTCGAAAATCACAACTTTTCAAAGAGACGCTCAATCAGCGCAAACTTTGCAGTGTTAGAAAGTGCTGCTGAAACAACCTACAATACTGATTGCTCCGATTTTTTTTTTGCAAGTCTCCGATTTTTTATGACCCTACACAGAAAATTCGAATTTTAACTGATTTCCTTCTACCGCTCCTATCTTGCAATAGATGATCATTAGCAAGCATCTAAGATGTCTTTATAAAGAGCATGACTTACTGTTTCATAAGAAAATAAAATCAGTCAAATCGGTTGGAAAAATCAGAGGTTATGAATTTTTGAAAATAGTGCGAACGAACTTTCGTGCCAACCTAATATATTAGTTCATCCCAAAAGTTTTTTCGTATTCGTACCTTCAAAATGATACTTCCCAAAAACTAAGGCATCTAGAAGGATGCAATTTTGTGGGACTATTCTTGAGTGAGTAAGCTATATAATGACACATTTGCGAAGAACATAGACTCATTATAGGCCAAGTTAGAAATTGAGCCCTTTATTTTTTTCTCGATTTCTAGCCGTCAGAAAAATGCAGCAAGTGTATTTATATATGTCTGATGGGGAAAGTATATGCGTGAGCAAGTGGGAACTTTGCAGAATGTTTCTGGACTAAGATACGATAATTTTTGTTTTTTCGGAATTTTGGATATTTTTCCATTTTGTCTTGAAACTCGATGCGGAACAAGTCTAATACGAAATTTCGAAAGCCATTTTGTAGAGCTTGCTTTAATCTTTCGAATGGTACTCCGCTTCTCATCAGATGTCTAAGAAGAGCAGACTTATGCTGGTGAAAAGTCTGATACGAAAAAACTCTTGGGATGACCTGATATTAGGTCGTACCGAAAGTTCTTGCGCACGATTTTCAAAAATTCATAACTCGTTGAGTTCTTAACGAAATTGTACGATCAAAATTTTGCATAGGAGGGGAACTCATGCTCTTTGCACTTGTACTGAGCTGTTCGTTAATGTTTACAAATGAAGGAGATAGAAGCTCAAAACCAAAATCACTCAAAATTTGAATTTTTCGTGTAGAGTCATAAAAAATCGGAAATTTGCCACAAAAATCGGAGCAGTCGGTGTTGTAGGTTCTTTCACCAGCTCTTTCCAACAGTGCAAAGTTTGCGCTGATTGAGCGTCTCCATGAAGAGTTATGATTTTCGAGCAAGCAATACAAAAGGGCGGATTTGATTTATTTTGGCATTTTTCAATGAAATCATAACTTTTCATAGAGGCGCTCAATCGGCGCAAATTTTGCATGTTAGAAAGAACTGGTGAAAGAACCTACAATACTGACTGCTCCGATTTTTGTTGCAAGTCTCCGATTTTTTTGTGACCCTACACGAAGAATTCAAATTTTGAGTGATTTTTTCGAGCTTTTATCTCCTTCATTTGTAAACATTAATGAACAGCTAAGTACAATTGCAAAGAGCGTGAGTTCCTCTCTCAAGCAAATTTTTGATCATACAAATTTGTTAAGAAATCAACGAGTTATGAATTTTTGAAAATCGTGCGCAAGAACTTTCGGTACGATCTAATATACAGAGTGTCCCAAAAAAAAATGTGAACACTGTTTAATCGTTAATAACTCCGTTGCTTTCAGGTCTTTCGCCGAGCTTGAGGCATCATTGTGTAGAGCGAGGTTCAACTTAGATTTGTAGTATGGAGCGAATCAGCGATCGCTCTTCGTTACTGTAGGATTACGGTATGAACTTCTAGCATGTGTATCCATGTGAAATATGCCATTTGACAAAAAAAATTTCAAAAAATCTGAAAAATCGTACTAAGGTTTTTGCGCACGCTGATTCCACTGCACAACTTTTTATGAGTGTTTTTAGCTTTTTTGACGGTGTAATCACATTTCTGACAATTGCTGGAAATTCAATTATTACGGTTTACTTTGGATAACCTTGAAAAGAAGCTC